TTAGTAGACTCCCACCTGCCTGGTCCTACTAGGAGATGGTGTAACCTATAGGTAGCTCCATCGGTAAGGGCTCTGCCTTCAGACTCCCAGGGCTCAAACTCTACCCCTTATCAGTTAGGTGTCTTGGGATGTGTTACTTTCCCTGATTGCCTCAATTTTCTCATCTGTAAAGTGGGAATATAGTGTCTACCTTCTGGGGTTTATATGATGATTGAAAGTTCTTCCAGCACTTCGTAATTTTTTAATAGTTATTACTTGTTGTGGTTGTGGTAGTACATACATTATTATCACCACCCTTAAAACCCAAAACCTCATGTCGATTCTGACTCATAGCAGCCCTACTGGACAGAGTAGAATTGCCTCATAGGGTTTCCAAGGATATAAATCTTTAAGGAAGCAGATAGCCTCATCTTTCTCCTGTGGAGCGGCTGGTGGGTTCCAACAGTGAACCTTTGGGTTAACAGGTGAATGATGTCACCACTGTATCACCAGAACTTCTCACCACCACCCTTGGGCACCAGTTTAAATCTGCAGGCAAATGCAGATTTTAATTTCGTGGGACTGTTTCCCTTGAGTGGTCACATTCCAGTCCAAGTTGTGGTGGGGAATGTCTCGGCCTTAGGTCATTCTTCACAGACTTTTGCTCATAGGTCACAGAAAGAACACATAGAGTGGGAAGGGCTCACTTCACAGACAGGGAATGTAGGACACACAGAGAATCTGTCTCTTGATGAGGGTGTCAATGATTTGGAGGCTGAGTGAATGTGGTGGTTAAGTTTGTGTGTCAACTTGGCTGGGCTGGTTGAGTGGCTGGGCAGCTGGTGGTAGTTATTCCCCATGATGAGACTGATAATCAACTCCATGGTGGGACCTACTGTGAGCAGCTGTGTAGCTGCCTTAGGGATGTGGTCTGCTTCCTATATATAAGGAAAAGCCTTGGGGAACACTCTCTAGCTTATGGCACGCTTGAACCCTGCATGTAGCCGTGTCATTGTTCAGCAGCCTGCCATGCTCTGCCGACCTTGGGACTTTCAATGGACTTAAATTAATGGCCTGCCATGTGGTTTGGTAACATTGGGACTGTGCCATTTTATTTGTCAACCTTGGGCTCGTTAACCTCAGCAGCCAGTAGTTGCCTGGGTGAGGATGTGTCTCTAGCTTCAGTGGGCTGGGAGCAAGAAGCAGAGCCCAAGGTTGAGGGGGTTTCACCCAGCACCTAGAGCCTGGCACTTTGAGCTTGGACTTACAGCTTCCAAACTGTAAGAGAATAAATTCCTGTTTGTTCAAGCCATCCCATTTGTGGTACATTCTTGTCAGATTGGCACTAGGTAACCAGAACAGGGAGGGTGGAGGAGGCCAGAGCCAGATGTCCTGTTCCAGAACATTCTTCCCTACCCCACACTTCTTATCTCCTCTTGGACCCCTCTCTTACTCCTTAACTAGCATCATACTTTCCCCAGGGGCTGCTTTGCTTTAAGCCTGACTCAAAACACTAGGTCCTGCCTGCTCTTCTTAGGCCTATTGCCAGCCTTTACAAGGATTCACAGTAGCATAAATGGTTAAGCTGCTAACCAAAAGGTTGGTGGTTCAAACTCACTCAGTGACTCTGTGGGAGAATGGCCTAGCAATCTGTTCCCATAAAACAACGCTATGGAGCATTCCCACTGTCACATGGGGTTGCTGTGAGTCAAAAGTGACTCGAAGATACCTAGCAACAAGAAGCCAGGCCGCAAAGGAAGCACTGCCTCAGTCCTGGGTGCCACACTTGGATGTGCAGGTGGTTCCTGGCTGCTTCTGAGAGAGCACCTGTAGCACTTGCACTACACCATTTGCTGCCCCCAGTGGCCACCGGGTGTATTGCATTAGAAGAGTGATGACTTCTCCAATCTCCGCATGTAGTTTGCCTTGGGGTGTGGGGAAGAGAGGTCAAAATAGCTTGTAAATCAGCCTGCCCTGCTGGCAACCTCGTGTAGTAGGATGAAAAGAGACTTTCTCTTAGGGAGGTAACTGTCTTTGTTTAGAAAAACATCTTGATAGACTACTCTGAGTGTGGAAAGAAAGTGAAACAAAGATATCTAGCCAAGTAAAAATCCAATGGGAATATTTTGAGTGAGAAAGGCAGACGGTGGAAAAGCAAGAGACAAAAGAGTGAAAAGGGGGAGCTGGGCAAGGCCTAGACTAGGGTGAGGCAAGCAAACTGTGTAGGATGCAAAATTTAAGGAGGCACTCACTCTCAGGCCCATGCAGGAGTAGGGTTGGCACCTGAGAGTGAGTGCCTCCTTAAAATGTAGACCCTGAACACCTCACTAAGTGCCTAAGGTATTTGACTGCTAATCAGAATGTTGGTAGTTCAAACTCACAAGCCACTCCACAGAAGGAAGATGGGGCAATCTACTTCCATAAAGATTCATGGCCTCAGAAACCCACTGGGGGTCACTATGAGTCGAATCAACTTGATGGCAGTGAGTTTGGTTGTTTTTTTGTTGTTTTGTTTTTTTTACACCTCACTTGTCTCATACTAATCCCAGCCCTGGAGTTGAGCGGGAACATTAGGCAACTGCTCCTGCAGAGAAATGTTGCCAGGGAACAACTCTTGGTGGCAGGAGGACCAAGGACTTTGAAGAGCATGGGTGTCTCATAACTGACTTCTAGTTTTTTATGCCTATTTAAAATATTGCTAGCTTTGCAAAGGTAATGATGCAGCTTTAAGCTTCCAAAAAAATAAATCATTTGTCACCTACATTTGTGGAAGCAAGAATGGGTGGTAAAGGAGGAGCAAACCCAAGTCCTAGCAATGAGACAAGGAGTCTGCCCTTTAGGAGTCTGACCCTAGAGAAAAACTTGCCAGAATCGCAGTGACCTTAATTCCTTGCCATAAGAGGGGAAGAGAAAAATACAGATTCTTGAAACTGGACTTCTAATATGTTTGATGTATAATTCTGTGATGTAATTCTTTCCTTCTGTTTCCCCAAACCTTCAGTAAAGTCAGCTTATACACAAAGGACTTGTGTGAGAGGCTTGAGGGAAACCAAGGAGGCTGTGTTCTGTGTCTGGGTTGGCAGGCAGCAGGGAGAAGAGAAGATGCTCAGGGGCTCAGCACGATCAGGAGATAGGAGCCAGATAGAACGCTGAGAGTCTCAGCAAACCTGGGAAAAGGACAGGGCTTCCCATGGAGCATATGCCAATTTAATTGTATATTAAAAATAAACTTTATATCTGGAATAATTTTAGATTTATAGAAAAGTTGCAAAGATAGTAGAGAGAATTCCTGTTTACCCTTCACTCAGTTTTCCTTAATGGTAACATCTTGCACATTTGTCAAAATGAAGAAATTCACATTGGTACATTACAGAGGATTTTTTGTTTTTTTAAATTTCAGCTGTTTTTCCAGTAACTACTCTGAATTTAGAGCCAATCATATTGAAATCTGACAGGCAGTTTCCCTTTCTGAGAACTACAGATAATCCAGGAAGACCAGGCTCAGCCTGTGTCCCTCTTTCATGGCTCACATCTGGCATGGAAGTGGGGGCAGTTCAGAAGGCATGACTGCTGTGGTGTGCAACATACACATGCGTGTGCACTGACAGCCTTGTCCACCCCATTTTGCAGCCCCTGGGCCCTGTGCACTTCTTACTCAATGCCCATGCTGTCTGCATGCTGGATAATAGACATGCTAAATTGGGGCCTTGTCTTGTGCTGGCTTAAATGCCCTACAGGGAGTCTGCTAACAACTGGCTGCCCCAGGACTCTGGCGCTGCCACTAGTTCTTCCCTCCTTTGGATCTGAGGCTCAGATGTGCATGTGGAGAACAAGCTGTAGCAAGGAGTTGGGGGATGGATGCTTAGCAGTGATTCCTGCCCCAGGAAGAGAAGTTTGACCAGCAAACAGCTGTGGGGGTAGGGAGCACAGCAAGCAGGGCCCACTTGGGGCCTTCCTCCTTGTAGGGGTCCTCCTCCCTCCCTCCCCGCTTTCCTCCCATCCTTCCTCCCTCCCTCTACCCTCTCTCCCTTTCTCCTCCCTCCTTTTTTTCTCTCTTTCTTTTAAAATAAAATTATTCAGAGCCATACACATACACACAAAACCATTTGTTACAATGACTTTGGCATATTTCGAGTATTAAGTGAAAAGGAAAAAAAAAGACTTTTTTTGTTTGTAGAATGGGACAATTTTTTACAAAGAATTGGCAGCACCTGCTCACTCTTTCTTTGAGTTAATTAGAATCCCTTCCAGATTTTTCTTTTACCAGATACTCTGTCCCAAGAGGCTAGGCACAAGACATCTGTCTGTTTTTCCAAAACCACGGTATAACTCAGCTGAGAATTTGAACAAATATTTGATTTAAAGTGGCCATTATTTAATTGTTGGTGCAGCATCCACTTCGTGTCAGGCACTGTGCTAAGTGCTTCATGTGCACCATTTTTCCAAGTGCCCACAACTACACTGGGAGGCAGGGAATGTCACTGCCCCATTTCACAAATGAGAAAACTGGGCCTCAGAGATGGAGTGCCTTGCCCAAAGTTATACAACGGTGAGGTAGTTATAGGGGTCAGAGCCAGGATTCGAACCCAGGAAGGCTTGGGGACTGGGGATCTGGCATAATTTAAGCCTACCTTTCTATATATGAGCAGTCTCTGTCAGGCTTCAGGCCAGCAGGTTCAGGACCTTCTGTGATTGATATTGTCACAGAATCTAATTAATTAGAGAATTTGGAATGCATAAAGTTGTATTCCACTAGAATGACTTCAGGAAGGTGGGACACACCATGCTGGCCCCCAGGTGTGGGACAAGCCTAGACATTTACTCACCTCTTGTCCAAGTGCACCCCCATCCCCTGGTATGACCCCTAAAAAGGCCCCCTTGTAGGGTTCTGCCTCCTGTGCCCACTATCGGGAGATGTAGGTGCTGCCTCTCTAAGAGCAGTGTGAGCTTGTGTTTCCCTATACAGGAGTGTGGCTCTGGAGGGCAACTCTGGTGTCTGAGGGCCAATGCGCTTCTCTTACCAGGTTTCTTGGAGCCATTCTTGGCATAGTTGCCCAGAACCATGCTGAGGCGTTTTCCCTTTGGCTCTATCCCGTAGAGCCTTCGGTATGTGACAAGGTCTCTGTCTTTCCTGGAGCTTTGCTGGGAAACCTTGGAGAGGAGCAGGAGAGAAGTTATGCTGTGGGGAGGAGGATGTGGCTTGGCTCCTCCCACCTTTAACCAACCATTTGTCCTGGAGATGACTGATACATGGCCACCCATGTGTGTCAGAGTACAGCTGTGCTCCATAAGGGTTTTAATGGCTGACCTTTCTTGCAAGGAACCTCTGGGTGGACTCTAACCTCCAATCTTTCAGTTAGCAGCCAAATGTGTTAACAGTTTCTACCACCCAAGTCTCCTCCACCACCTCTGGACAGAGTTATTTCAAAGGTTTGCTGAAGGGGCAGGTGAAGGAGACAAAGGCGGGTGAGAACAGGCAGGGACTGCACACTGGTACTGCTTACTAACTCTCCACTTGCGTCTCCCTCCATATCTCAGACGGAGCCCACAGGGGGTCATGGGAACACACAGCTCTCAGAGTCAGTTAGGTCTGCGGTCATCCCTATTAGCCAGGTGACTCAGAAGTTCATTGGGACTGATTTTCTCAGCTGTCAGATGGCATTTCTGAGTGTTTTGGTAGGAGAGAAGTGAGAAGATAAGGCAAAGCTGTGAAGAAAGAAACTACCCCGGGATGCAGTTCTCACTGGGGTGGGGAAGATTGTTGGGCACTGGGGGGTATGTTTCATTTGAGTGGTAGTGTGGGGCTGGAGTGGATTTCAGAGTCTTCAATTAAAAAAAGTAAGAGTGAACCTGTGATAGTTGGAGCTGTGTGTCAACTTGGCTGGACCACAATTCTGTGTGGTTTAAGCAGTTGCGATGTGTGTTATTCCCATGATGTGATTGGATGTATATGTTTTGAGAAGCCAATCCATTGAAAGGGAGTTTCCCTAAGGGTGTGGCCTGCTTCCAATATATTTATGGACATTCTGGGAAAAGAGACACTTTTCTGTGGATTGGGATCCTGTTGTGCTGCCTACAACTGTCCGTGAGCGAACAATCCACCATTCGGCCTGGAGATCTTGGATTCGTCATTTGTTGGAGTCAACAACCAGTATACTGCCCACCAACCTTGAGCTTGTCATCCCCTGCAGCTGTGTGAGTTGGTAAACACCTCCAGCTTGATGTTTGATCCAAGAACTTGGGACTTGCCAGCTTCTATAAGTGTGTGAGCCATTTTCCTAAGATAAGTTTCTCTTTCTCTATGTGTATATATAAGCTTTACTAGTTTTGCTTCTCTAGAGAACCCAGCCTAACACAAAACCCTAATGCCAACTATGAGAAAAAAAAAAACACTTCAGTTAATTATTATAAAATATCTGCATGAGTGCATCAATTATAACAGATATACCAAAACAAAGCAACATGTGAATAGGAGAAACAATATGCAGGGAGTGGGTGGTATGTATAGAAAGTAGTGGGAAACTTCTACAACTTGTCTGTCAGTTTGTCATACTGTGATGGTTTGTGTGTGTTGCTGTGAGGCTGGAGGTTATGCCATTGGTATTTCAAATACCAGCAGGGTCACCCATGGTGGACAGGTTTCAGTGGAGCTTCCAGATAAAGACAGGCTTAGAAGAAGGAAGGGGCCAGCCACTAATCAAAGACTTGGCCAGTGAAAACCTTATGGATAGCAGTGAAACACTGTCTGATATATTACTGGAAAACTTTATGAATAGCCCTGAAGCATTGTCCAATATAGTGCCAGAAGATTAGCTCCTCAGATTGGAAGGCACTCAAAATACAACTGGGGAAGAGCTGCCTCCTCAGAGTAGAGCCAACCTTAATGATGTGGATGGAGTAAAGCTTTCAGGACCTCCATTTGCTGATGTGGCATGACTCAAAATGGAAAGAAACAGCTGCAAACATCCATTACTAATCAGAAAATAGAATGTACGAAGTATGAATCCAGGAAATTTGGAAGTTGTCAAAAATGAAATGGAACTCATAAAGAAAGATATCGTAGGCATTAGTGAGCTGAAATGGACGGTTCTTGGCCATTTTGAATCAGACAACCATATGATTTACTATGCCGGGAATGACAGATTAAAGAGGAATGGCGTGGCATTCATTGTCACAAAGAATGTTTCAAGATCTATCCTGAAGTACAATGCTACCAATGATAGAATAATATCCATACACCTACAAGGAAGACCGGTTAATACTACTATTATTCAAATTTATACACCAACCACCAAAGCCAAAGATGAGGAAATTGAAGATTTTTAGCAACTTCTGCAGTCTGAAATTGACAAAATGTGCAATCAAGATGTGTTGATCATAACTGGTGATTAGAATGCTAAAGTTGGAAACAAAGAAGACTTGGTGGTAGCTGGAAAATATGGCCTTGGTGATAGAAATGACGCTGGAGATTGCATGATAGAATTTTGCAAAACCAATGACTTATTCATTGCAAATACCTTTTTTCAATAACATAAGCAGTGGCTGTTCACGTGGACTTTGCCAGATAGAGTACATAGGAATTAGATTGACCACATCTGTGGAGAGAGGTGATGGAGAAGCTCAATATCTTCAGCCAAAATAAGGCCAGAGCTGACTGTGAAACAGACCATCAACCGCTCATACGCAAGTTTAAGTTGGAGCTGAAGACAATTAACACTAGTCCACCAGAGCTAAAATATGACCTTGATTATATCCCACCTGCATTTAGAGACCATCTAAAGAATAGATCTGATGCAATGAATACCAACAACCAAAAAATAGAGGAATTGTGGGATGACATCAAGAATATTGTTTTGGTTAGCTAGTGCCACTCTGACAGAAGATACCACAAATGGAATGGCTTGAACAAACAGGAGTTTATTCTCTTATAATTTTGGAGGCTAGAAGTCCAAGTTTAAAGTGCCAGTCTCTAGGGGCTGGGTGAAAGCTTCTCAACCTTGAGCTTCAGCTCTGCCTCCTGCTCCCAGCCCACTGAAGTTGGAGACTTTTCTTCACTCAGGCAGCTGCTGGCTGCTGAGGCTGACAAACCCAAGGTTGGCAAGTAGAAAGTCACAGTCCCAATATTACCAAACAACACAGCAGACCACTAATTCAAGTCCAGAAAAAGTCCCAAGATCAGCAGGGCATGGCAGGCTGCTGAATGACTTGGCTACATGCAAGGTTCAAGCATACCATAAGCAGTAAACTATTCCCTAAGCTTCTCCTTATATATGGAAAGCAGACCACATCCCTAAAGTAGCTACTCAGCTGTTCACAGCAGATTGTACCATGGAGTTAATGGCCAGTCTCATTATGGGAAACAACTACCACCAGCTGCCACTCAAAACAAGGTCCAGCCAAGTTGACATATAACCTTAACTACCACGAACATCATCCATGAAGAAAGTAAAAGGTAAATAAAAACACAGGAAAGGAAGAAAAGACCAAAATGGATGTCAGAAGAGACTCTGAAACTTGTTCTTGAACGGAGAGTAGCTAAAGCAAATGGAAGAAATGACAAGATAAAGGAGCTGAACAGAAGATTTCAAAGAGCAGCTTGAGAATTCAAAGTCAATTATTATAATGAAATGTGCAAAGTCCTGGAGTAGACCAAAAGGGAAGAACATGCTAGGCATTTCTCAAGCCGAAAGAACTGAAGAAAAAATTCAAGTCTTGAGTTGCAATATTGAAAGATTCTATGGGCAAAATACTGAATGATGCAGGAAACATCAAAAGAAGTTGGAAGGAATACACAGAGTTACTGTACAAAAAAGAATTGGTCAATGTTTATCCATTTCAGGAGGTGGCATATGATCAAGAACCAATGGTACTGAAGGAAGAAGTCAAAGTTGCACTGAAGGAATTGGTAAAAAACAAGGCTCCAGGAAGTGACAGAATACCCATTGAGATGTTTCAACAAATGGATGCCATGCTGGAGGCACTCACTTGTCTGTGCCACGGAATTGGGAAGACAGCTACCTGGCCAACTGACTGGAAGAGATCCATATTTGTACCCATTCCAAAGAAAGGTGATTCCACAGAATGTGGAAATTACCAAA